GGGGGCGATGAAGAAGAATGAAATGAGAAAAACATCACTCGAAAACTCAAGGAATAAATATACCTGTATGTGTGAGGTATTTATTTTTTTTTTAGTGGTGATTTGAGAGGGCTTTTCGTGGCTATTCGTGTAGCAATACAAAAATCGGCGTACTGATCTAAGGTTGGATAAAGGTTTAGGACGCTATTGGCTAAATGACCCACGGTCGGTTTTTTGCTTCCTTTCACTTTACTGCTTGGAAACACCCAACTAAACACCTGCATACTATTTGCAACTGCTTCATCCTCCATCAGCACAACATAAGGCCATAGCCCTAAAGAATATATAGAATTAACTGCTGGAAAATTAAGTACTCTCGCCACCACTATTATCAAATTAAAAAAAATAACAGTAAAACGGGACAGACCTTGGCCAAACCACGATAAACGGGAAAGACGCATTCGGGGCTACAAGCGAAGTGGCGCAGCCCGACTATTTTTATCCACAGGTCTCTCCTCCTCCTGGGCGTCCTTGCGCTGCCATTCCACCCCGATCCCATAACTGCAGGCCAGTTTTGTCTGGGAGTAGCTGCCATTGCAGCTCTCTTGACTTAATCTGGCCGACCGCAGCTTCAGAGAAGGAGTCAAGATTGATCCCACAGCTAGTTGGAAAGGAGGAAAGAGGAGAGGTCGTGGTTAAGAGGGGGAGGAAGGAAGAGGGAAGTAGGTAGGAAGGTTGAGGGAGTGTGGATGCAGGGGGGGGGGACCGCCGGTTATTTCTGAATACTTACTGAGTAGGCTTGTTATGTGTTTGTTTTTGTAATGAAATGCACCATATTTGTATTATTTGTTTATATGTTTATTTGAAAAATTAATAAAAATTTGTAAAACAAAAAGATTGATCCCACAGCCATTTTAGGCGGTGGCTTTAGCTTGCCAGCTCGGATGCGGATAAAAGTCCCCAAGTTCGGGATGGGCTCTCTCTCTCTCTCTCTCTCTCTCTCTCTCTCTGTGTGTGTGTGTGTGTGTGTGTGTGTGTGTGTTGGAGACCCCAGTCTTTCAAGCCTCGCCTTTAAGGTCATTTGAGCTCCATTCTTTACAACGCCTCTATTATGACCGCTAAGCCGGTGTTCCCTCGGGCATTATTTAAGCACTGAAGACGTCTCTGGACTCTTCCGGAGACATTTCTGGTAGGAAACCGTGGACTGAGATCTGGGCCTCCGCGATCTCCGCACTCTCTTTCTACCCCTAGGCCGAAATCCAGTCCCTGCCCGCCTTGGGAAAGCGGATGCCGGGGCGGCCAAGGTCAGCTCAAGTTCAAGTTCAGGGTTGCCCCAGATGAATGGGGCGACGAGGAAAGGGGCGGACGGGACTCCTATTCCCCCCTTTCCCCCCTCCACCCCGGGGGGGGGCTCGGAGGGAGGAAAAGGCGGCTTCCAACAGGCGGGGGGGGACCAGGGGGCTTTGGCATTTGGAGCCGCGCCGGAGCAGAAGCCGCCCTCCGTTGCGCAAGGCTGCTTCTCCGCCGTCTCCGGGAGCTTCCAACCCCGTCCGGGCTTGGGGAACAGGATCCCTCCTTCGGCGTGCTGCGCTGGACCCCCGACGGCTCCCTGGACGGGAGAGGGGAGAAGCAGGGACCTTGGCAGGGCTGCCCACGGCCGTCGCCGCGAAGGCTCTTCCCGCTGGAGAGCCCAGCCCGGAACAACGACTCCCACCCAGTCCGGAGTGGGTGGGTGGGTGGGGGGCTCTGGAAAGCGACGGGGGTCGATGGAGTGCGGGTTGGAGGGAATTTTCGCCTCCCTTAAGCCGGCTCGGCTTGGGGAACCCGGGCCCGGTTTAGTTAAATGGTCGCGGCGCAACCACGGCCTTTGCAACTTCAGCGCAGCCAGCGCCGGTTCCTCCGGACTTCTCGAGGGAGCAACGTCCTGCGCTGAAGGTTTTAATAAAACTAAGGAAGGAGGAAGAGGCGGAGGGTGGCCTTCATAATATTAAGAGAGGAACACGAGGTTTTAACAGCCATTTGATTGCTGTTCAATGTTTGGGGAGGGTTTTGTTGTTGTTGGTTTTTGTTTGACTGTCTGTTTGTTTGTTTGTTTGCATCGTACACTGGAGAATGAATGAATGAATGAATGAATGGGGAGCAATGGATCCGGCACCGGAGAGAAGAGCGGAGGAAACCTGACTCGGCGGGAGAATGAAAGTAGGGTGACAACCTGAACAGGAGGTGAGGAAGGAGGGGGGGGGAACGTGGATTATCTCCGGCCTCCACTTTCCCTGGGGAAAGTTGGGTTTCTACCCCCATCGCGCAAGCACCCAGGTAACAATAACAGGCGTCTGAAAAGCCGGCTTGCGGGAGTAAAGTGGAAGTAAGTGGATCTTTATGCTCTAGCAAACCGATCCGCCTAGGATTCCAACTCTGACTCTTCTCTTCCTTGCCACGGCTGAGATCAACCTGGAGTGGAGGACCAGAAAGAAACAACTCTTTGTCTCTTTTGCGAGTTGTTGGGCAGCGCGGATCACACGCCAGGATCACGACTCTGCAGAGCTTAGGAAAAGGAAGGAACTGCGCGCGGTTGCTTTCTGCGTTCAGGCGGTTGAAATTGGGAGGTTTTGGGCCAAGGCCAGGCTTTCGAAGATTTCAAGCTATCAAGCCCGGTTCCGCTCCAGATTCTTCGAAAGAAGCTTTCAAAAGGCTTGCCTGAGTGAGGATTTCACATTCAGATCGGAGGACGAAATGTATTCAGCCTCAAAGCGGAAGTGAATTTGGGATGTTTTTTAAAAAAGGGGGGGAGGCACCTTTAAATTTCCACTCCTGTAGGACAGGATTTTATATTTTATAGTGATAACATGAAGGGGGTTATAGACGCTCCAGCGTATTAATTCATATACAGTCAATATTCTTCCTGGCCCTTATAGCGAAACACGTGCTCCTGCAGTAAATTGCAGGCGCTTAATATCCCCAGCAAGAATAAATGTTGACTTTCAATTAGTAGGTAAATTTAAAATAAGAATAATAAAAGAAAAATAAATTATTATTGGAATTATGTAAAAAGTCCTCAGTTTTACTGAGATGTGGCAGAAATGTATGGCTCTCCTTTAAAAATAAATAAGCCAACACCCCAACTTGTTAGCTTCATTAAAAATTATCACGTAAAAATATAAAAAGCAACACAGAAAACCCACCACTTCAAGAAGTTGGGGGTATTCTTAGAGAGAATAAATGCATGAATGTTATGTTTTTTTAAAAACCAAGAAACTAGTAATTCAGATATCATTAGTTTGGGCCAAGAGGAGTATAAAACTAAAAACAAATGAATTATTTCAATTAAAAGGTACAAATCATTCTTCAAACTTCCGTTCATTTTAAACTCCACTTTATTTCCAAAGGGTGAGAAATGAAACCCATGTTAAGTCTTCTGCTGAGCTGGAATTCAGACTGCATAGGTACCCCAGGGGCCTTTCCTCAAGTTTTGCTCAAGGCAATCCTATGTGTGTCTATTGAATAGTAAAACTCACTGCTCATTCTAACTTACTCTCAAATGAATGTACATATGCAAGTTCAGCCTGCAGTTCTGGGGAGGGGTTATAGTATTTGAGTTTTTGAAATGTAAAATGAGTTTTACAATTAAAAAATAAATTAGCAGTATTTCTTTTGTATAATTTCTACAATTATGTTTGATTTTAATTGCTTTTAAAATCAAGTTACTAGCCTCATTCTAACCAGTTATGAACACTTTTAGTTTATTGGGATAAAGAGAAAGATATATGTGGATTAAAAATATCATGGACTGCAGTTTCAACACATTTTATTATATTTCTGTATGCATTACTCTCAAAAAAAAATCACAAGAAATGATGAAACCACATAAACCTCCAAATAAAAAAAATTCTGAAACAGTTTATGCTCACAATTGTACATATTTATAGTTAAGAAACATTCTTTATAAATACTGTTTCCTCTGTAGCAAGTTAATACCATAATTTAATTACAAATGGATAAATATGGCAATAGGTATTTACACAAGGAAGGGTGTTATTACGAAAAAAAAAATCCCTAACAGCACTACTTTATTTTCCCTATTCCCACCCCCCACAAATTTCCAAACAGGAACTAGCAAAAAGCACTAAAACATCACATGTAAACCCAACTAACAGAAAATACATTCACAAGTGTTGGGAAGAAGGGGGGGGGATTTATCTGGGTCGTTTTGAAAACAACATAAAGACTTTGGCACTTTTTAAAAAATCTTTCAGATCTATATTTCAATGAAGTTTACAATCAAAGTTGCCTCTTTTAAAGGGAACACAATATTCAATACCACAATTACAGGGGAAAAAAAACATTTGCTTTCATGTTTTTCCCTTCTCCCCTTTTAAAATTGGTGAATTCAAGAATGAGGAATGGGGAGGGGAGGGGAGAGGTGAAAGAAGAGAAGAGAAAAGAAAAGAGAAGAGAAGAGAAGAGAAGAGAAGAGAAGAGAAGAGAAGAGAAGAGAAGGATGCTCAGGAGGCAGAAACAGCTCTGTGTGAGAAATGATAAAGGAAAAGCAATCCATAGTTCACAAAGTGGACCAATTTCTATACAATAAGAAAAGGTTGATTACCACCTTGGATTCCTTTATGTACACTGGGAGAGATGGACGAACTCTGATCTTTTGTTCACAAGGCGCTTGGAGGCCCCAAGGGACAAATCTCTGCATACGGAATATTTGCAAGTGTGGAAGCGGGGGCTGTTCTCTGGGTGGGGAGAATCCTTTGCTGCTTTTGTAGACTTCCTATCCTCTTCTTATTCCTTCTCTTTTTTTAAAAGAGCCCCTCTCAGCATTTCTCAGTCTCTCTCTCTCTCTCTCTGTGCTTCGGAATGTTTCCAATTCAAGCAAAAGGAGAAAAAAAGGGAGTGAATGAGAGATAAAAGAGAGAGTTGCAAAAGGGTCTCCCGACTTCTTGGTCCCCAGGGATCCGAGAAGAGTGGCTGCTGCGCTGGGCGGGTGTCTTCAGACGTACCACTCGTTGAAATTGGAGGTGAGGCTACTATGGCTCCCTCCACCGCCGCCGCCACCACCTCCGGAGCCACCCGTTCCACTGCTGCTACCACTCCGGTGAACTGCAGATGCAGCCACCGCTGCAGCTGCAGCAGCGGCAGCGGCAGCTGCAGGAGACAAGTTGGAGGTGGCCGTACTTTGGGTCTCTGTGCTGGGGGACACCAAGCCCGGCGGGGTGGAGGATTCGTAGCCGGAGCTGGCAGCAGGCGAGGAGTCGGAGCCTTGTGGAGATGATTCGTGAACCTATAAGGCAAAGCAAAGCAATTATTGTGGTTGTTCACACCTTCAGTCAGATGTTTAGACAGGATTGGGCATTTTTATCCACCTGTCCAGTCCCCCAAGGACCTGGAATAGGCAGAGGTTGATGTTTGGATGTAAGCTGTACCGAATAAACACTGGCCTTTACAATTGATGGATGACGATTTTGTCTGATGCCATGCTCAAGTGGTGCTGTTTTTATTATATTCATAATAATATTTTTCTCCATTATAAATAACGGAAAGAAGGCTTCCCAGAGCTAAGGCTGTGAGTCTCCACCAAAGCCCTCCTTAAAACGGGGGTGTTAATTTCAGTCTTCCTAGACAGCCTAGAGAACCCCAATTTTGTTCAGGGCAAAATAAAGTGATATAAAATCGTGACACAGAAAAGCAGGCGTTTCTGATTCAACTCGCGGGCTCCCTCTTCCCCAAGACGAAAGCCCCCATTTCAAGGGATCTCTGGCTTCCCAGGAGCCCAGGCCGACTCCCTTCTCTCTCTCCTACTCCCTCCTCCCTCCCTGGTCCTCCTAATCCCCTTCCCAGGCCAGTGCCAATGGGTTACCTTCATATGTTTCCTCAGAGAGCTGGGGTGGGTGTAAGATTTGTCACACATTTTGCACAAGTAGGGTTTGTCCGAAGTGTGAACGTGCATGTGCTTCTTCCGGTCGCTGCTGTTGGCAAAGCGCCTGTCACAGCCTTCAAATTCACACTGGAAGGGCTTCTCCCCTGCAAAAAAAGAAGGACAGCCACGGGGTAAATCGCTGCAAAAAGGATGCAGCCCACCGAGGCCGGATGCAGCCCGCTTAATGAAGGAGTCCTTTTTCAGGGATAGAAAGCCACCTGTAGTGACTGAGCGATTGCACAGGAAGCAGAATATGCCAGGCCTAAAGGAAGACACTATTCAGTGATTAAATGCCACCTTATTTCTAAGCACTTTAATTTGAAAACCCGGGATACTTTCTCGGGCAGAGAAGGGTAAAAAGAAGGCAGTACAGTATGGCGGGACTTAGCTAAAACATGACAATCCGGGAATTTGAGAAAGTTCTTGGAGCTGTAAACTTGGTTTCCTAGGCAGACATAAACAGAGAGATCACACGGGTGAAAGACAACCTGTGGCCATTGTTTCAAATCATAAATGCCACGGGGCCCCGAAAGCAAGAGACCGCGGCCCTGTTTCTATTTCAGGATACAGTTTAGAAGCAAAATTAGCTTCTCGGGTCAATCCAGATTTAATAAAACTAACAAGCACCGGGACCCAAGATCTGAAAAACGGGTGTATTTTTTCCCCCATTAATAGGACATTGGAAGTTAATCCTGGTAGATCTGCCTGGGGTAGTGGGTGGCCATGTGGGGGGGGGGAGAATGTGGGAGTATGGAAGAAAATACTTGCAAAATCTTCCGAGCTTTTTCACCCTGTTGCCAGAGTAATTTGTAGGTGTGAGAATTCAACTGCCACAACCTCCCGATCCCACGGATCCTCTCCCCCTTAAATCGGAGGTGGGAGAGATGGGCAATTTCACAAGAAATTCCATTAGTACGTAAATTGTTCCTTAAAGGCAAACCGCTCAGTGCCAAATCGCGGCCATCTCCCTTCAAATCAACGCCTCGGATTTGTTAAACCTCGTTAAAACCTGTCTGGCACCTAGGTCGGCTCTTAACACATCAACAACACAACTAGGAAGGCCCAGAGAGGTCTTTTCGTTAATACTGATGTCCGGAAATCGCTAAAATATTTGACTTTTTTTTCAGGGCCGGGAAAAGAAAAGAGGCGAGGGAAAAAAAACAAAACAAAAAAAACCTCTGGGCTTAAAAATGTGACCGGGGAGAAAAAACCTTGGAAACTGATGGGTCTTTTAATTTCATCGCTTCGACTTAGCAACAAAATCGCGAGTCGTTTTGGCCCTCTTAAGTCTGAGAGGATTCTAAGCCTGAAAGTTAAATCCTCCGGCAATTATTGCATAATATAAACAAGGTAATGCAAAAACGCTTCAGCGGCTGCGACTGAGGCTTTCCAAATGAGAAAGCGTTGTTTCTTATCCCTTTAAAATGAAATGAAAAGCACCAGCATCGCTCTGGGAAAGGAGGACGCCCCTGCTCAAAACCAGAACTCATTTGGGAAGAAAAGCACATCTACTCTCAGTTCCCTACGGTCCTTTTTACAAGCGCCGTGTGTTACTCACTCTCCTGGATACTGCAGTTAACGCGCGTATTTCGGTAACTTTCCAGGCTTCTCTCTATTTACTCAGAAATAAATCGGATGGATTTCCAAGTCAGCGTCCTCGTGGGGATTTACGTTTGCTGTGCGACTAATCCTCGAAATCGCCGAGTTTCCCTTTGTTGTTAACGCTCAAAAAAGGACGGAGGGCTGCAGCTTGTTTTTGCCGCCTTACATCCCGCCCGCTTTTCCAACTCCTAGTGCGGTCTCGGCGCTTCGGTTCCCCACGGAAAATGGCTGGTTCCTAACTAGATTTACTTAAAACTCACGCTTGGTTTTACTCCAAGTGCAAAAACTCAATAAGCGAGACTCGCGTGGACCTCTAAATATATTTCTTTTTTTAAAAAAAAAAATGCCCAAAAGCTAAAGCTTCGTACTATTTAAAGAAAAAACGCCGGGATAAAATAAACTAAGGGTTTACCAGCCGCCGTCCCTGTAGGTGGAGCGAGGCGAAGGAAGGAAGGAAGGAAGGAAGCCTTTCTATTCGAGTTTGAGCCCGAAAGAAGCGATTTTTGCCGACCTGCCCTCCCCGCGGCCCCCATCTTAGTCGCCGCCCCTCCCCGCTTTCTCCCTCGTCGGTTCCGACTGACCTGTGTGCGTCCTTTTGTGGATCTTGAGGTTCTCGGAGCGGGCGAAGACCTTGCCGCATCCCGGGAAGGGGCAGGGGAAAGGCTTCTCGCCCGTGTGCACGCGGATGTGGTTGACCAGCTTGTACTTGGCCTTGAAGGGCTTCCCTTCGCGCGGACACTCCTCCCAGAAGCAGATGTGGTTGCTCTGCTCGGGGCCCCCGACGTGCTCCACGGAGACGTGAGTGACCAGCTCGTGCATGGTGCTGAAAGTTTTATTGCAACTCTTTTTGGGGCTGCTGAGCTGCTCCGGGTCGATCCACTTGCAGATCAGCTCCTGCTTGATGCATTGCTGGCGCATGTAGCGGAAGAAGGCCCCGGGGTGGTGGTGATGGTGGTGGTGGTGGTGGGCGTGCGGGTGGGCGTGCGGGTGGTGAGCGTGGTGCGCCGCCATGTTCATGCCCATGTTCATATTCATGGGGCCGTATTGGCCATGCAGCTGGGCTGCCGAATAAGGGTCAGTTCGGGGGCTGGACACCTGGCGGTACTGATCCGACCGACCGAAGACTTCTCCGGGTAAGCCCAAGCGCATCTGCCCGTTGAGTACGTTGGGTGAACCGGGAGCGCCATGCTGGTCTCCGATGCCCGGGAAGAGCAGGTGGCTCTGCGCCTCCGCGTGCGGGTGGTGGAGGCTGCCGGTGGCCGCCGCCGCCGCTCCGAAGAGCCCGTGCTGCCCGCCGCCGCCCGCCGCCGGCTCCCCGAAGCCTCGGCTCCGAAACAAGAAGTCCCGCGGGGAGTTGAAAGGCGGCCCGGAGTAGGAGCCGACGTGGGCGGCGTGCGGGTAAGCCGGTGCCTGCGAGCTGAAGGCCGAGCCTTGCCCCGGGGAGAGCTCGTGAGCCGCCGCCGCCGCCGCCGCCGCGTTCAGCTTGAAGGCCCCCAGGTGAGCCGCCGCCGCCGCCGCCGCCGAGTCCACGAAGCTGTTCTGCAGGCTCAGTTCGCGCTCTTGCATCTCCGCCGCCGACGGGGGCGGGTGCCGGGCGAACGTGCCCACTCCCAGCGCGGGGAACTGCGGCCCCGCATCCAGCAGCATGCCGCTTCAACCCCCCCCTCCAAGGTCCGGGGCTCTGGGCTGCAGCCGCCGACGCCGACGCCGCCGGAGCGAAAGAAAGAACGAACGAACGGCGCTGCCGAGGCGAGTCCAGGCGCAGGCGGCAACCCGAAGGGTATTAAAACGGCTGAGGCGGGGGCGGGCGGGCGGGCCGGCAGGCGGGAAGGGCAGCCCTGAAGGGACGAAGGCAAAGAGCAGTCCGGGGAGAGGCAGGAGGCGAGAGAGAGAGAGAGAGAGAGAGAGAGAGAGAGAGAGAGGTGGGGGGGGGGAAAGGGGAGGGGGGGCTCTCGCTTTTCCCTGGGAAAATAAAAACACAAGGCACAAACCCCCGGCGAAGAGATGTCAGCGCCACAGTCACACCAACAGCCTCTCGCACACACAGGCGAGGAGCTATATAGTGAGAGCCGCGCGGGCGCGCACGCACGTACACAGGGAGGAAAAGAGGTGCGCGCGCACGCGCGGGCGAGCGAGAGTGGCGGCTTTTTCCTCACACGCCGCACGCTTTCCGAAAACAAACACGCTGCCCTCCTCCTCCTCCTCCTCCTCAGCCGCACTCCTCCCCCCCCCTCTCCCCGGCCCTGCTCGGGATCACTGCTCCCCTTCTCCTTCGCCGCTGCCCGCCATTCGCTTTGCCTGACGAGCTCCAAACTTGCAGGCGCCGCCGCCGCCGCCGCGGCTTCCTCAGCGAGGAAGGAAACCGGCGCCTCTTTCTCGCCACAACCCCCCAACCGCTCACTTTAAGTTGGGAAGGGTGGGAGGGGCCGAGGGGAGGGAGGGAGGGAGGGGAGGGGAGCGGTGAGGGGAATTGGGGAAAGAAAAAAGCAAAGGGGGAAAAAAAGAAGGCAGTCCGGAACAATAACGCAGGCGGTGGGAAGTGCCCAACGTGCGTCCCTCAGGCCGGGCGCGGGTCCCACTCAGGCATGGCTAGCGCCCGCCATGAGGAACCTCCAACCGCGAGGGGGAGCGGGGAGAGCCGCTCCTGTCCTCCTCCTCCTCCTCTCCTCCTCCTCCTCCTCTCTTTTGGCGCGCGCAGAGGGGGGCGTCCTCCCTGGTCTTCCCTTCGCCTCTCCTCCTCGCTTCCTTGTTGAGGTGGGCGCCGCTGCGGTGGCTGGTTTTTATCCCCCGCTCTCCACCCGCGTCTCCTCCCGGCCTCTCCCGCTAGCTGCTAGGCTGGACTGGCAGCTCCTCTCCCACCGCCCCCTTTAACAGCAGCCAGGCCATTCTCCAGGCGCCCTCTCATTGGTCGCTCCGGCCCATCAATCCGATCCTTCCCCCCATAGATGGGCTAATCGCCACTCGCGAGTCCCCGGCTCCGATCCGCCTCTCTCTCTCTCTCTCTCTCTCTCTCTCTCTCTCCCCGGGTAGCGGGCAGCGCTCTCCAAGTCCCGGTGGGCACCCCCTCCCTCCGAGCCCAGGCGAGAAAGAGGCAACCTTTGGATCAGGGGGCAAAGAGAACGGGCTGTCGGGGAGGGGAAGGGGGGGGAGGGATCGGAGACCGCTGACCGCAGCGACCGCCGGACACAGCTTCGGTTGCGGAGAAGGGAGCCAAGAAGCAGAACCTCCGCGGGGGCTTCACTCTCCCTGGAGAAGAGAGGGCCCCCCCGTCACCCTGAACTGTCAAGGGGTGGGGCAGGAGGCCGGGGGAGAGCCGCTAGTAGGAAATAGCTCGGCGGGGAGAGGCAGGCAGCGGTCAGTCCCCTCGGAAAATGCCCTGCGGCTTGGCCGAAACCGACGGGAGTTCCTAAACCTCCCCCCCCCCCACTTCCCGGGAGATAAGCCGCGCTGAAAAGAAAATAGAGTTGTGGAAATAGAGTTGTCTGCTCCTCGTGTCAAGGAAGGAAGAGGGCCGGTTGGGGGTGGTCGGGAGGGGACACGGGAGCTAGCCGCACGTCGGGGAGGGCGGGGAGGGGAGACAACCGGGCCCTGCAAACTTGCGCTGAAAGATCCGTGCGCGCGCGCGCGCGCGCTTGTGAGGGAGCGGGGTGGGACGAGCAGGGTCAGAATCAACGGTCAGTTCTTTGGGGTTGAAATCGGCCCCAAAAAAACCTTGTGAAAATTCCCAATATTCGCTTCTATCAGGAACGTGACCTGATTGTGTTATGTTGCGTAAATTGACCCCACAAAAACAGCAATCCTGAAATAACAACAATAACAAGAAGTAATGGCGCCATCTTCTTTTTTCCATTTAGCAAAACAACCCACTTGTGCGGCTCTAGAAAACCCGGAAAACATTTTATTTATTTTTAAGATATTACAATTTTACAATTGTAGAATTATATTATTATTATTATTATTATTATTATTATTATTATTATTATTATTATTATTATTATTATTATATCACCATCATCTTAGCACAGGTCTGTTTCTAAACAGATTTTGTTAGATTAATTAGGAGGTAAATTCTTAAAATCTATTCTATAGGCGAGTAGATAGAACGTCATACAAGATTTAACAATACTTTTGGACAAATCCTTTTGTTTTATGCTTTATTTCGCCCTCCCCCGCGTTTATACACACACACACACACACACACAAATTAATTATGAAATCAAAAAGTGTTTTACCCCAGCTACCCAGAAGTTAAACCCGGACAGCGGTTGCTCCTTCACCCTGAGCCGAGGCTGCTTTTTTGACAGCCGAAACGGGCTTTGAAGACGAAGCGCTGCCCCTCGCGGCTTCCCCGCCTCGGAAGGGCGAAGCGGGCGCCCCGGCCCTTTCCTTGGCTTTTACCTCGTTCCCGGGACAGACTAGCTGCCCAGCGCCCCCGCTTCTCTGGCCGGCTGGCGGGAGGAGGCGGCGGAGGAGGAGGAGGAGGAGGAGGGCGGAGAGGGCAACCCCGAGAGACGCGCCCTCTCGTTTATTGATCTGGCCAGCCTGTTTTGCCGAGGCTCGCCTTTCTGGAATCGGGAGCTTGGGCGGCGGGCAAAAAAGCCGGGCCAGAGGTGGTGGTGGTGGTGGTGTCGGCGGCGGCAGCAGCAGCTAAGCCGGTCTCGGCCTCTTCCAAGCTCCCGGTATTCGGCGAACTTGACCGCAGCGCAACTGTACAGGCGGTGTACGCGGCCTGAACTCGTCCGCTCGAGGATCCATTCCACCCGGTGTAAGGGAAGGTGTTGGGAAAACGGCGTCTGGCTTCCTCTGTGTTGCCCAGAGAGGGGAAGGGAGTGCGCCCACAATGGTTGTGAAGGTGGCTACCAGGCCACCCTTCCTTCCTTCCTTCCTTCCTTCCCCTTCCCCTTCCCCTTCCCCTTCCTTCCTTCCTTCCTTCTTTCCTTCCTTCCCTTCAATTCCCTTCCCTTCCCCTTCCCCTTCCCCTTCCTTCCTTCCTTCCTTCCTTCCCCTTCCCCTTTCCCTTCCTTCCTTCCTTCTTTCCTTCATTCCCTTCCCCTTCCCCTTCCCCTTCCCCTTCCTTCCTTCCTTCCTTCCTTCCTTCCTTTTGATTGTCCAGGAGGTTTGGGTGTCTGGATAAAACAGTTCCTTCCAGAGTAGGAAACTCCGTAGGCTCAAACTCCGTGCTTTTCTTCCAAACTTCGTTTTCTCCTCTCCCTGCAGAAAGTTCAAAGCTTGACCTTTCTGCCGCTCCCCCCACTCCCGCTTTATTAGTCTCCCAACCGCAGAACCTTCCCGTTCCCCCCCCCCAAACAATGTCACGGGGGTGACCAGGAAAGGGGGTGGGGGTGGGAGAGAGAGAGAGAGAAAAAAACTCCTGGAAACAAGCCTGCCGTCTCTTTCACGGGCCATTGGCCGAAGTGGAGCCTTCCCAGCGCCGCCGCCTTCACCAGAAGAGAAAGCAGCCAGCAGGCGAAGTTCCTTGGAAAAGTGAGGTCCCAGGCAGCTCTCGAAGAAGGCCCTGGCCTGCACTGTCTGGGAGGCTTCTCAGGAACAACTCTTGGGAAAACAGGTCCCTGACTTGTGAGTGTAATTCTTTTCCCGTTTCTGCCTTTTTCTTTTCCAGACTGCGAAGGTGGCAGGGTTTGCTATATTTTGTGGTCTTAGTGTTTCCTATAATTGGCCACTTTGAGATTCCTGCTCCTTGAAATTGACATCTGGAATCCCAGGGAGGGAACCCCATGAGATCCTTTTTGCCTCTCGGACTGGCTCTGCAGAAGCTCCTGCTTCCTTTGATGCGGGAACAGGTTTTCTTGGGCCAGAGGATAATGTAGATAACTCCTGCGTGTAGATAACTGTACCGAAAAAGTATATACAAAGTGTTGAGAATCTAACTTCTGCTTTTGTGTAAACCTTTTCCTAAGGAGAACGGCAATTTTTCAATTCTTCCCAAACCTGTGCATGCTTCTTAGAAGGCCTCCCTGTTTTCCGTGAATTTACTCAAGGCTACGCAAATGTAAAACTGAAGCCTGAATTAGAAATATGTTCTAAGGAAGTGTGTGAAATGTACTCTTAAATCTTTTCCAGTAGGCACAACCCACCCAATGATAAAATATCTTAAAAGTGAATGCTGCTTGCTTGGGAATTAATTCCATGTTATTTAGGGGCTCCTCCCTGCCTCCATTGAATGTGCCTCAGATTAACACAGCCTGTCTATTGTTATTAGGCTGGCTTGTTTCCCATTGAAACCCAAATTTTAAAAAAATGTTTTTCATGTTTATGACCGGAATCTGTCAAATAATGTGCTGAGTGCCCATGCTAGATTTGTTTATTCCTCAAGTTGATCAGATTTGTTTCCAAATAAAAGTGTGTAGAGTGTTCCGTGATTTGTGCAGTGCATTTGTTTTAAATTGTGGTGGGAGAAGAATTTTGAGAAAGGGAAAAGAGAGGAAGAGTAAGATCCCGGATTTCCTGTTAACATCCCATTTTTAGATTATAAATTCAGCTTGTAAAGTCATTCCAAATTACTTTGAATTGGAGAAGGAGGGTCACCCCCCCCCCACACACACGCACAGACCAATTTCTTCAGATCTGCTTGCCTAGGATTATTGTCTGTATCACAGGTGCTTACAAATTCAACAGGCTCATCAACA